TGGGCGTTTCCTCCCGCCCCATCAGACACAGGCACCTCACGAAACTTCCATGTCCAGTGAGGACCTGCGTCAGGCGGTAGGTGAGGACGCCGTAGCGTCTCTCAAGCCACTCTTCAACCGCTGCAATGGCAGCGAGCCCAGACTTTTAAAGGGATACCGGTGCTCCGGCTCGAAGTGCAGGAGTAGGACCTCTTTTAATCAGTAATCAGTAAACAAACAAACAAAACAAATATATATATTTCCTTTTTATTTACATATAATTAATCTAAGCTTATTAATTAACTATTCTAGGTAAGTTACAAGACAATGTCTGTATAGAATGCCATCTGTACCACGGGCTTTACGTCGCGTGCATTATACTATTACGATAATATTACTAAGCCTTAACAATATTATTTTCACAGTCACTAATATTATAAAGGAACCTTACATTTCCATCTAAATTTATTTCTGACATTTATTAAAATACTTTTTATCTATATTTACCTATACATTAAAAAACTATGAACTAAAATATTTACACCTTAAAAAAAGGTAATAATAAATAAATAAGCTATAATAAGTTAATAAGGCATCAAAATTAATTTTCCTTATCGTTATCGTGAGCTAGGGTGCCTAAAAGACTGGCAGCATTGCCACGTTGAATGGCAATGCTTAACCTTTGTCCAAGGTAGAAGCCAGCCCTTCGATCACCTGAAGTGTCAACCATCCTCCTTACAATATCTTTGTAAAGAAGATCTGCACTTGGGCCCCACGGCACTAAAGTTTCAACCCCAAACGGTTCGAAAGCATAATTGCCAATCAGGCTAACATACTTTCGCCGTTTGAGGTTCTCGGCAGCAGTAGCGGCAGCACCGGCTCGACACGCTGAGTTTGGAAGATGGGATGGCGCCAGAGTATCAACGCAAGTGGCGTCCCATACTAAAGCCCTACCCATCTTCCAAGGGAATAATGACATATCGTCGGGTCTCTTGCCATCGTTGCGTATACATTTACATATATACATATACATACATTTACCTATACATTATATATATATTTAATGACAGTCAACAAATTCTCGCGTTGTTCGTAATCGGATGTTATCAATTCGTTTGTATGTTGTTGTTTTGCCACCAGGTGGGACTGTTGGTGGGATCCCAAACCCAAAACAAATAAATATAGCTTAGTTCACAGCCCAACACTTCACAGGTATAAGCTGTAATGTTGGGTATCTATTGATTTGATTTGAATGGTATTAACGAATAATTTTGTTTATAACTTGTGGCACCGACTTCATACCTATCAGTTGGTGTGTAATCTTTAAGTACGTATGGTTTAGTTTTTATATTTCGTTTGATTTTAGTTTTTGAAGTCGGTATTCTGTGTTCTTTTTAACACCGAACACATTTTTTGATTACGCATCCTGTGGCGCGCGATTGAATATTAATTTTAGTGCATTTTTCGGAAGCACCGCGACCGCTTGTGCATTCAATAACATTTTAACATTTATAATTCATTTCATTGTGTCGTGTGTACGTGATATTATCAAACTATTTAAACTGAACATTAACAACTTGAACTTTCGTCTCCACCATCAATCACTCGTATTTTCAACCGACTTCAAATAAAAGGAGGAGGTTCTCAATTCGACTGTATGTTTTTTATGTTTGTTACTCGATTACTCGAAGACGCCTGGACCGATTTCAAAAAATATTTTTTTGTTTGATACAATAGGTTTGTCATTTGGTCCCATTGTCATGAAGTCAGGATCTGATGATGGAATTCCAAGGAAACCGAGGGGAACTTTTAAAAATTATAGGGGGGACTAGTGCATTTGTTAATTTTTTCGTTAAGTATTTAAAACCACTACAATCTGATGATGATCTGATGATGGAGTCGATAGGCAGTCGAAGGAACTCCTCAACGGTTAACAGTAGCTACATTGTGTTTGGGTTTGATTAAATTAGTATTGATGAAAACTTTGCACGGATGTGGATTGTACATAATATAATATATTCTAGTACTATACTAAAAAGTATAAAATAAAATTAAAAAACTGCGTTTGAAAAAACCGACTTATAAAAAAACACAGTTTTATAATTAATAATTGTCAATTTTTATTAATGTATATTAGTATGTAAATTGTAAGAGGGCCTCCCACGCAACATACGCTATTTATGATACGGAACATCAGTGGCTCAGTGCGGATGTCCGAGTCGCACTTGGTCGGTTATATTAATGTATGTAGGTACCTAAGTAGATCATCATCAGCCTATTAAGTGGCAACTGCTGACTAAAGGCACACGGAGAAGGTTTGAGCATTAATCTCCATGTTTGTTCAATGCGGGTTGGCGATTTCAAACTTATAATGTTTCCTCACGATGTTTCCCTTCGCCATTTGTCAGTGGTGTCTAATAACCTTAGAAAGTAAGTACATACATATAACTCGGAAAAAGTCACATTGGTACTTAGCCGTTGGTGGGCTGCAAACCCGCACCTTCATGCATGAGAAGCGGGCGTCTGGCCACCACACCACTCACTCACGTCTGGCTGGGTATTTAATATTGGTTATTTTACCGATTCTTGAGCTTAGAACATTGTTTATATGTTAACATCCAGGACGTGTGTCAGTATGGTCATAACAGAAGTTCAGTCGTTGATCCTCGCCCGTGTGCTTCGCTCGGAGCAGGCGAGCAGGCAGCACGGCGCGCGGCGCGGGTCAACGACCGCACCCCCGCACCCCCGCACCCCGCCGCCCTCCCCGCGTCCACCCGCAACTAGTCGACTGCTCGATTTAAGCAATACATAATATCTATAGTGAAATATTTATTTCAAAGCGGCTTTCTGTTGGGGCTTCAACGCTTGCTATCATCCATATAACGTGTCATTTCAGAAACTCTTTAACGCAGTTGTTCTCAACCTGGTGACATGGTCCGCGAGATGAAAAAAAGTACACTATACTGTTGTATAGTCTCTCTCTTCTGTCCGAATTTCTTAGAGGTATATTTCCACTCCGATTCTACTTCTGCTTTTCCAACCGGAGCCCCGGCAACCCTTTAAGTCCTCCGCGGCTCCGTATCGGCATCAGCCCTATTGGGTCCCATCCGTGGTGGTCTGATGGGTCTATGAGGCGCGCGCGTACTGCGACGCGCCGCGCCGCTCGCTCGGGTTTGGTTCTGACTGATCGGGCGGCGAGCTACTCGTGCTCGCGGTTCGCAGGCTCGTGCCTACGGTGGCCGGAGATCGTCTCGCGAAATCCTTTGTTACTGGGAACACAAGACAGAAGAGAATGGCACAATTTTATTTATTTTTGAAATCTTATCAAAAAATTGTCTACCTATAATCATTAGGTACCTTAATACCTAATATACCTACGCCAACACATTACCTACATTTTAAATTTAAATTGAGTATTTATACTTACAGTATGGAGTACACTCATATGAGTTATTTATAAATGAAACTGCAAGTAGTAGGTAGGTACTCGGCCACGGTCCAAGGAGCATTCAATTCAACAAAATGTTTCATAAAAAATCAATACAAAATAAACAATTAAATAAATCGAGTATTAAATGTTGCACGTTGGAGTTGCTAGGAGCGGACGCGCGGCGCGGCTGTCGCAATGCCATATTTATAAAGAATGTTCAAATTAGCTCAATGACAAAAATACACTTTTGGCTTAACTACTGGACCTATTCCGCTCGTTTTTCTTACATTCGATCGACACGACCGAAGACAGGTCAGGCGCAGAACGAACGACGACAAAATTGACATTTTGATCAGAAAAATTCATTACTTGCCACTTTTTGTCCGGAACGGAGACAAAACCCACGACGCGAGTACGCGACGCGTTGCACAGTAGTTAGTGACCCAGGCTCTGTACTAACAGATAATACTAAAGAAGATAATATTATTATTTTTTAATATTTCTGTGGTACTAACCGTGCTATAAAGAATTACCATACAAACAGCGACACACGTACACGTGCCGGATATAGACCCCTTGTCTGTATAATATTTGTGTACCGTATCTACATATACATACGTAGTACATACCGTCTTACCAATCCAAAATCATATGTCAGATGTACTTATAGTAAGTTTTGAAAAAATCTGTTTCACTCCGACAGATGATGTGAAGGGTTCATTGTCTGTTGTCTCGGGTGGGGTGGCGAACTGTGGCGAACCCTTCTCAGCGCGCGAGTGCTGCCATCTGTCGCGGTGTCAGTGACCGCTCGTCTCGTTAGCCCGCGCCCCTAACGTGACCCCGGGCACATGATGCAGGCCGCACATTAATTTTATAACAACAACAATAAATATGTATCATTGTATAGGTCGTGCTAGTTGGGCTACCACGCGCGAGGCGCGACCACCAGCATGCCTCGTAGCAGTCAGTAGTAGTAGCGTGCACTTGGAGGCCGCGTCTTGTTTGCACAACAACTCGATCCCACGCCACTCACGCCTGCCCGCATCGATCTGTTTCTACTGCTAGGAACATAAGAATATTGAGTGCTCCACAATAATGTGTGTGCACGTACACGCGTGTGTTGGACCACTTCTCTGTTATTTACCTCTACTTACGAACAGATTCGTAAGCAAACAAAAAGGAATTCCGATAAATGTTTTTGTCTAGCAGACTACCTCGTACAAATTGTATGTATGTGTCTACCTACATAACAGTAGGAGTTGCTTTTGTCTTTCACTAGCTCTCTGTTCTGCACGCCTTTATAGCAGACTGTAGGAAGAATCATGTAGTGTCTGGAGCCTGCACCACTTCCAGTCAGGAAACCTATTGACCTGATACAATTTTAATAGTTAATTTGCGGGAAACAATCAATACGTTGTACTGTAAAATATGAAAACCGTTTTTTTTACTTTTTCATCAGTCCATATATGAAATACTTATTAGGTAAAAAAAAGCTAGCAACTTTATTCCGATCGGTTGCTATCAGTAAGTCTGCGTAGAGCATGCAACTGATGAACTGATGCAACCACTAGCTCGTTCTGTTTGTACGCAGGGTGCTGAAGCGCAACCGCATCGCGTACATTGAGGAGCACGCCTTCACCAACACGCCGGGGCTCCGAGTGCTGTGAGTATGTGTACGGGGCGCGTCTACTGCCATACGTAGTTTGTACTGCCCATACAGGCACACACGAGCTGGGTACGTGATACTAGTGTCAAGGAAGGCCAGGGAAGGGACTACAGTCTGTGCCTCACGTCACTCGTCACCCACGTGTGTCACGCGGCCCATAGTTACATAGGCTGGAGAAACATATAGTAGTAGTACATCCTATAGTATGGAGGCCAAGCGCCTCGGGTACCAAGCGCAGCGCACGAGCAGCAGGTGGACAGACTGCGCGCTGGTTGCAAGTCGCTCGTAAGGTAGATGCTAAGTACTAAGGACCGACTGACCGGTCAGTCGTTTAAGGAGGCCTGTATTCAGTAGTGGAAGTCTTGTCTTGTGGCTGATATGATGACGCAAATGAAGGAGGTAGGGCCATGTTTTAAAAAAAAAACAAATAGATACCTAGGTAAGTTGTCATGTAACATTATAAATGTACTGTTCGGTCGGTGTGTGTGCAGGCGGCTGGAGGAGAACTTGCTGTCGGAGGTGCCGGCGGCGCTGCGTCTTCTGCCGCTGCTGGAAGACCTGTGAGTGCTGGCGTGGCGTAGGTAATGTAGGCAGAGTGTGCGGAGTAGTGACGCGGCGCGTGCGCAGGTCGCTGGCCAGCAACCGCGTGGAGGAGGTGGCGCCGGGCGTGCTGCAGGCGTGCCGGCGCCTGGCGCGGCTGGACCTGCGCGCCAACCCGCTGCCGCGCCTGCACGCGCGCGCGCTCGACCACCTGCCGCACCTCACCACGCTGTACGTGCACCACGACTTCTGTCGTTAATACATATACCGAACTTTAAGAAGTTAATCCCCGGTTCTGCAATCCTGGCTGCAGTACTAAATATTTATTTTAAAGTTGCTCCACATTAGGCTTTTCTCCTATGCTGTTACATGCCTGGAGTCGTGAAATTCAGTAAGTACAGTAAGCCTATTTATTTATATATTTACTAACGACCCGCCCCGGCTTCGCACGGGTGCAAAAATACCTAATACAAAATGTCCTTATACACCACGTTCACAGCTATTTTGTCATTAGACAATACAAACATGTTTTATATTGATATTTTCCTCGCTAGAGAACTCCGATTAACGCGCGCGGTCGTTGCAAGTCATGAAATGCTCTAGGACGAAACGCGGCCATCAACGCCGCAACAAATACGTCCATGGATGCATTTTAAATTTGTAATATCTTCGGAAATATTCACTTAAATTACATGCTGTAAAAACATATTGATCTATGATAAATGCACAATTTATTCAAAGTACTTAATCGAATAAGGATTAATGCTATATTGTTTAAAATCATAAATTCTTCGTAAATAACCATTGATAGTAAAGGATAAAAAATGGTTATGGTGGATTATCCCTAATAGATAGACATATACCATCGCGGAGTTTTTTCCATGATCGAGCACTATTCACGATAACGTTAGTAAAAATATAGACGAATAAATAAAAAAGTAGTCATAACATATAACTATAAGTCATTGTAATTTAAAAACTATAGGACTTGGATTTTGTTATAAGTATATGTAAAGGACATATTTTTTTGTTTCAATATTCCAAAATATCAGTAGCCTATGTTACTTTTTAGTACAGCTAGTAAAAGTCCCGTCAAAATCGGTCCAGTCCAGTCTACTACAAACAGACCGACAAAAATTTTAATTTTATGTTTTATGTGTCTTTCTGTCGTTGTATATTCACATGCACGTATGCAGTAAAAAGCAGCATATACACCGGGTACAAATTCACAGATTCCGAGGTGTTACTGAGAACTTTGATATTGCTTTTTTATGTTTCCATAGTGACGACATACATGGATGTTTACATGGGGGCAGTGACGGAGATGGCCGGGTGGCCTCGGCAATAAGATCACTCGTTAATTACAATTCCGTGTTTATGACACTTCCCGTTTACTAAAACGAATTAAAGCAAGGTTTGTTGTTTGGCCGCGAGTGGCATCCGGCCCGCGACCGCTGACCCACTGACTCACTGACTCAGTGACCGCAACAAGCATCTTGATGACCAAGTGACGAACGGTTTCGCTCCCCAGGGTGGAATGAGGGACTACTTTAATGATTTGGGGACAGGGGTAATCGGACCTCCGCAAACCTTACTCACACGGCGAATCAAAACGGAAGTTAGCAGTTTTTGTGATGTTGTGGTATCGCTGCGGCCGATCCGGCCCGCGCGACTAAAGTCTGCCTGTCCCACGGTTTACTTTCCATGTTTATTAACCGACGTCTCAAAAAGGAGGATGTTCTCAATTCGGCCGATATCCAATAATTTCACGTTATTTTCAATTAAAACGGAGCCCGCGTGTGTCACAGGGTGGTGTCGGAGGCGCGCGCGCTGCAGGCGCTGCCGACGCTGAACGGCACGTCGCGCCTGCGCACGCTGCGCCTCGACCGCGCGCGCCTCACCGAGCTGCCCGCCGCGCTCTGCACGCATGCGCCGCAGCTGCGCTCGCTGTTAGTATACTACCCCATGCTACACCACAATGTCATGTATAACTGATGCGCTGCTACAGCTGCACAGCTGCACTTCTATAAAGCTCCCTCTACTGTGTTTCCCTCCAACTATGTCGCCTGTGACACTTCTATTGGATATCATATCGAGCTTTATTAATTTCACAACGGTGACTGTTACTTAGTAGTTTTGGCATTATAACGTTATGTAAAATATTGATCACATCAACCCAGCCACTCACATATGTAAATAACTTAAAGTACCCTAAGATCTATGACGCGTCGAAATTTGCCTTTCGGAGTTTTTTCAGTTGACGCTTACAGAGACATATTCCCTATCAGTGTTACGAATGAGTGACTGACTAAGTAACTAGTAACTTGTCCAAAAAAGAAAGTCTGTGTCTGTGCCTCAGGTGTAAATATGATCGATAGCAGATTTGATGAGGCCCAAACAAAGCTAACAGTGGGTATGTGTCGCTGTCGCTGGTTCGTCGAGTCGCCGCTGCGCGCTGTCCGGCGCGCGGCGCGACTTTGACCTGATGACCTATTTATGAAATGGCGAATTGTCGTAAATGAAGTATCGGCAGTGTGGTATCAGCACATTAGTTAGAACAATGAATACGCACACATTATGCAATGTTGATCGACATGGACGTACTACATGTGATGCGTGGCACAGGGACCTGAAGCTGAACATGCTGCGGCGCGTGCCCGAGCTGCAGGGCTGCGGCGAGCTGCGCGTGCTGTGAGTACCCGGCGCCGTGGCGACGTGGCGACGTGGCCGTCGTCTGTGTGCGTGTCGTGCAGTGTGTGTGTGTGCAGGGACCTGTCGGGCAACGAGATCTCCGCGCTGGACGGCGGCTCGCTGCGCGGCCTGCGCCGCCTGCACGACCTGCTGCTGGCCCGCAACCGCCTGCGCCGCGTGCCGGCCGACGCCTTCACGCACACTCCCGACCTGCAAGTGCTGTGAGTACCCACTGTCTTCACTCATTCAGCCATGACTCTGCTGCTAATGGATAGGTTCTGTATCCCTCGTACTTATATAGCAACTTTAATAATATTATAAAAGAGATTCACTGATTGTCATTCATATTTAAACCATCATAATTATGTAGGTACTTAAATTAATATCCACTACAGCATGAGAAAATGAGCTTCATTACTGTTGCAGCAACCTGGAGGACAACATGATTGACCACATCGACATGGAGGCCTTCGTGCCTGTCTCCAAGCTCGAGGACCTGTGCGTACTACTACCTACTATACACACACACCCACACACAAGTCGGCATTGAAATACCGACAGTTTAGTAATAGTTCGATCACTAAGGACGAAATATAAATATAAGAAACTGGTCGTTTGAAAATAACGACTATGACATAAAGATCTGTGTCTAAGACGACATCTCATATGTCAATGTGTGGTTCATCGGAAACAGCTCAGAGCAGGAGATTATTAACCAATTCGTAAAATGTGTATCACAATGACATGCGTTAGGTCTGTAAATAATAACTACACTATAAAAATCCGACGCTTTAGTTCCATTTTGCAGTCAACGATTTTCTCCTAAAATGCACAGGAAAAGGTATTTCAATTAAATTGTTTTTGGCCATTATTCATGCAATTTTTCCAAGAAGGCGGCGCGAACGGCCGTCGTACGAGGGTGCAAAATCGAAGTAAGAAAGAGCTCATCAAAATCATGTCGCGCTTCTCATGCATGAGGTTGCGGGTTCGAAACCTACCAACGGCAATTACCAATGTGACGTTTTCCGAGTTATATGTACTTATTAAGTTTATTTGGACATCACTGACAAACGGTGAAGGAAAGCATCGTAAGGAAACCTGTAGGTCTACCTACTCTGATTCGACGATAAACGAAGTTTCGGACGAAACTTCGAAGATTACCTACCACAATGACATTTATTACGAACGAAAAAGGAATGAAACAAGCCAGAAATTCTCCAGCCAGAAAGTCTGTACTTTTGGAACCCTCTGATTGTACAATCTGCACGAACGAAAATTCGAGTTTGACAGATTATTCTTCGGACGTTCGATGTCATTTCGACGAAACCAAAATAGTAATTGTTTGATTTTCGTTTGGTTTAATTTTTATTGAAAAATGAATGAAAGTAATCGCAAGTCTTCGTTTTATCACGGTTTCTTCGTGTGAACAACACGTAGGGCACCAAAGGAAACACCTAAATGACGATATAAAATCAATGTACAGTCAGCTCAAATAGTTGTTAGCACGGACCTATATATTTTATATGTCTATGACAGTTATTAACATTTTGGGTAATCAAATACTTAATTGAATACCTTATGTATTGTACTTACATAAATGTTTCATGTGTAATGTTTTATTTTAAAACTAATAATACCGCGCTAGAAAAATAAACTTAAGTACTTATTGCTAGTTTATATTTTCGCTATTCTTTCACATCTATTAATATAACAATATTTATAGATAAGTTAAATTCCTTCAAAATATATATATTGTCAATCATCATAACATGAAATAATTTAGTCTCAAGTTCTCATGTAGTCATTCTAAAATAATACGAATAAATTTGGTTATCATTATTTAATAAATAATATAATTTATAAATGAAAATGCCAACATTCTAAAACTTTTAACCTAGTCGTATAATAAATGTTTGAAAGGAGGTTCTTATCCTGTTTAAGATTTTCCATCTTAAACATTAATATTAAATGCATATTCATGATTTTCTTGATGAATATATGTGCTAATGCTAAGCCATGGCATTGAGTCGTGGAGAACCTAACGGATTACCGGGGCTCCGGCTCGTCGTGCAGGAGAAGGAACGCGGTGGTTTTTTGTCAGTAAGAGTCTGACATATATATATATATATATATATGTTACCGGCCAAACCCGATTTCAGGACAAACTAGTTTTGCCTAGGCTAAGCTAGTTCTTCCTATAAGCGTTAGGATTAACTAGTATAGCCTAGTTCAAACTAATATGTCCTAAGCCCGATAGGACAAACCAGTTTAGGCTAGGACAATCTAGTTGATCCTGATATAAATACGTACGACCAATTATGTCATTAATACTTGCGTGTCGAGCAAAACGACCCGCACTACGGCTACACGATAAGCCGTGGTGTCCAAGGCTGTTGACATCTTAACCACGATGACAACGATGAGGTGAACAAAATGAAGCTCCAAGCCTTAAACAAATTGCAGCGCGGAATGTGGTGTCGTCCAACAAAGTACCTAAGTTGGACGAAGGCAAAGCAAGAAGCCATAACCCCGACTCCCACTCACCTGCAGCCAAACGGTGAGCTCGCTCTGCAGTTGAACAAGCGGAGATCAACAGATTTTCGCTCACTTTTCTGCAAAGCGGGTCGTCCCATTGTCTCTGGGAGACTGATTTGAGGGGGGGGGGTCAATATTTGGGCAAGCGATTTTCCAAACTTTCACAGCTTCCACTAAACATGGTACATCAAAAATTAACCAGTAATTAAGAAAGAATTTTCCTGGTTAATTCTTCAGTACCATGAACGGAAGATATGAAAGCCGGTAGGCTTACACTGGAAATTTTACGGAGTAAAGAGTAAATTAGTTTATTTTGAAAGATGAGGAAGTTCTTATACCAAGGATTCCGATGATCACAACGGATATGTATATAACTATAGTATATAAATAACTCTTTGAATTTAAACGAATTCAATTCCTGATTCGTTTTGCCTTCGCCATGACGATTAACAAATCACAGGGCCAAGCATTGACTATTTGTGGCCTCAGTTTAGAAAATGTTTCTCTCATGGTCTATTGTACGTGGCATGTTCACGTGCCGGTAAACCGTCCGCTTTATTTGTTCTTGCGCCTGACAAACAAACAAAGAATGTCGTTTACCACGAGTACGGAGTTTAGAATGAACTGAGTTAATCCGAGTGCATCACATACACAACATACTTTAATTTAATAAAATAAATTCTGATACGTGGTTGAAGTACTTAATTTTTATTTTTTCTCGTTCTATATGTATTGTTCATAATAAAATACTTTTATATATCTATGTTCATATTTATATTGTATCATTGTATTACGTTCATCAAAGCTTAAATTAGTTCAGCTAAAAGGTAACACGACATTAATTGACTCTTAGGCGGCACGAAGTTAGCCGGGTCAGCTAGTATCACATACAGCTATACTAGCCGTAACCGGATGTCGTATCCCGCAGGAATGTGGGCAACAACCAGTTCTCGTGGCTGCCGGGCAGCGGGCTGCAGCGCCTGCTGCACCTCAAGGCACACAACAACCCCAACCTGCGCCGCTTCCACCCCCCCGACGTGCTGCCCCGCATCCAGGTACGCCCCGCGGCCGCGCCCGCAGCCCGCGCCCGCGCCCGCAGCCC